AACTAATAACAAAACAGTAGCTGATTCAGAAGTGCCAGATTGTCATAGCAAAGTCAGAATTACCTCCTCTCCTAGGTTCACGAAACGGTCGTCCATAAAATGCATTGCTGTTCTGTTGTAAGTTATCTTAAAGATTCCTAAATGCATCTACTTCTGGTAGGCCAAATAAAGTGCTTTTGCTTTCGTTTAGAAACACACAGCGTCTCCCTGACATGGCTGCTTTAACACTAACTGCGGTTACTGAAACCATGCCTTCTTTCTTTGCGTGCACATTTGGGTGGCATTATGCAAATGTTTCCACATAGTGAGGTAGATATGTGGGGGTGTGTTAGAACGAGCCGTTTTAGGGGGGCGTGGCAGAGTCTTAACTTTGATAAAGAATATCTCTTTGGTTTTGAGACTTTAGTCTTTGCAACTTCAGGGATCTTGTCTATGCACAATCAGCTTGTAACACTCCAAAGAGAAAGGAAAACTTGAAATCGCATCATATGACCCCTTTAAATGAAAAGCAACATGCTGAAACCAGTCATCTATTAAACAACTGCATGTAGTTAATGTGGGAGACAGAGAAATTATTGTGACTTTAGCTCAATATGGATTTGAACATGCATTGCTGATTAAAAACAAAAGTAAGACCTTTTTATAATGCTACAGCAGTCTGAGACATTGAACCATTTCAGATCTCATATTATCTAATGAATTTATGGCTCCACAGTTTTTTTTCTCTCAGAATCAATGTTTGACACGCATTGAAATTGTATTGAAATATTCATATTAGCTGTTCAGATACTTGAATACCTCTTCACAACCATATTGATTATTTATGGAAACACTGTGTCTGAGTCCTGTCTTGAAGTCAGAGCACCATCACTGTTCTCATGCATCATGCAGATGCTAAAAGAAAGCAGCTATTGCTAATCTCTATCTGGGATCTATAAACACAATATCTTACCCAAGAGAATATGACCTTTGGTGTGCATCAGAGATAGGGAAAGAACACTGTAAATCATTTTTTGATTATAGGCCATTCAACAAAATTTTGGTCATATGAAACCCAAAACATATTTTGAGGAAATATAAAAATATGTTTGTTTGTTTTTTAATTTCATAAATTCTTTTAATTTTAGAGAATTGTAATACAGTGGTCACAAAAAAAAATCTGGACACTTATAAATGGAAATAGGAAAAATATTAAACCAAATGATGCTTGAACTTTTTTTTTAGACATAACTTTTTATCCAAGTGGTGTCGTGTTTATTTTTTTAGTAGATGTCTGAATTTAGTTTCCCTCAAGTTGACACTATAAATACTTTTTTTTTTTGTTATTTGTTCTGTCACGTTAAACCTTGTGAAATGTTTTGCTTTAAAAGTGTGCAATGGAATTCTAAATTCTAATGCAATGGCATTCATACATTTTTAAGTGTGACTTACAGTAAGTGTCCAAATACTTTTTAGGGCCAATGTATGCTGGCTGTTAAATACTGCCAATTTGTGCCTGGTACAACAGGCTGAACAAAGCACTCAGCGCACGCGCACACACACACACACACACACACACACACACACTTTGCAGAAGTTATAAGAATATTTATCATCATTTAAACAAAAATGAGCATTTTGACACTTTTTGAAGTATTGATTTGTCATATTAGCTCCATATACAGTATGGACTGTAATCATGCTGTATGCTGCTATAGCTAGGAGCCAATAAGCATGCAAGGCTAAACATTGTTCTTTGGATGTTCATTGCAAATGTGAGGTAGAAAACTCCCAGACACATGCAGAGAGATGGTGTCACACACTGGCAACCAAACACACATACCTCATGGGATACAGTATCTGAAGGCCAAACATGCTGAAGTAAAATAAGGTAATGAGGTGTTGGATCTACATAAATATCCAATAACAGTAAAGTCAACAATATTTTGCTAAAGCAAAAGCAGGAGTGAGTGGTAAATTAGAACTGGGCATCATGCATTGATTTTGATAATTCTTTATAATGAACTGATATATATCTATATATATAACATTATGTGTAAATATACGTGTACATACATATATGTATATATGTGTGTATGTATTATGTATACACACACATACTCTATTTACACATTACAGTACATTTTTAAATAATAAGATAATTATTATAAATACAGAGGAAAATACAGCGGAAAAATCTAAAATACATTACACAACATTTTCCAACAACAATCTTATTATTCTACAAAATCTTTTTTTTTTTTTTTTTACAAATATATTTATTTATATATTTTTACTGGAGAAAAAAATCTGATTTTCTACAGTGTTTAGGACTGCCATCTGTAAAGCATGACCATTATCAATAACTAATTTTCAACAGGCAATCCTTTATCACCCTGCTGTAGATGTGGACACTTCTCTTTTACTGTTCTTCTGAAATGAAAGAATCTATTGTCACAGAGTGTCTCAACCATCCAGGATCCAGTGAAGAGGAGCTGGTAAATTCTTCATGCCATCACAAGCTCTTATTTTTATGCCAGCTGGACATGCCCCCAATCTGGCCCACTGAAAGCTGCTTAAATGAGGCTTACGTAACACAAACATGCCACTCAAACCGACTGGCCAAAGTAAATGCCTCAAGACCACTGCTATTTCACTGTGCAACAATCACAGTGTGTGTACTATGCGTTTGTGGGAGTTCCCTGCAGAAGAGAAACAGGAAATGATGGACAGCAGAAAGAGGCAGAGGGGGAAGTGACATTGTACCTCATATCCCCGAACTTCCTGCTGATGGTATTGCCCAGGTTACTGAAGGCCGCTGAGGTCCTCTGTCCTGCCGTAGACAGGCTCTCAGACGTCTTTTTGTATCTGCCAGAACAGTACCAAAAAAACAAAATGCTTATTTTTAAAAAGTGACACTGTCTACACCGAGCGCAACTGTTGTCACTCACATCGCATCTCGCCGCAACAGCTAAATGCTGTCTACACTGGACTTGACAATGTGCCCATTGCTTATCATTGGTACTTTGTGTCAATAACACATAATAATAATACATAATACACATTTAAAAAATGTGGCTGCAAAATTAACTGAAATAAAACTGAAAACACAATATAGCTTAAGGCAATTATAAATCAAAGGCTGCGATTGTGTACATTCACATAATATCCGACATTTCTGTGGATAAAGGTTTACAGCATTTCACCAGTATTCTGCCTAAATATAAGCTTTAGAATCTGAAAATACTGTATATAAATTAAGAATTTAATACATAAATATAGGTATTGTGACAAAGTATAAATAAAGTTTTGTATTATAAAATAAAGTATAATTATCCTGAATGAATTATATAGAAATTATCATTTTTTTTTATTTTACAGGACAACTGTAATATACAGTATTTATGTAATTCATTATATAATATTCATTTTTATAACTAGAGCTAAAACTATATAACAATAAGCCATATATGCATGAAGCACAATATATAATTAATTTGATAATAAAAACACTTTCTAAAAAAAGATTAAATGTTATGTTTACTTGCATGTCATGTGACCCTTAATCAACAGCAGAGAACCATGACAATGCAAATATGCTGTTAATTTTTTTTAATTTGAACTCCTTTTAAATTAAAATATTATTAAAATCCCAGGGGGTACTTCAAGAAAATATTTTCTAATGGGTTTGACTGACAAAAAAGTTTGGGAAACCCTGGTCTAAAGCTTTAGTGGATCTTAGAGCACATTGAACATGACATGCCAGTTCCCAAAGGAGACTGAAGAACAAGAACAAGTACAGGCAAAGAACAAAAAGGTGCCTTTTCTGAATTGTAGACAGGAAGAACTTCACTTAACTTTTTTCTGTGATCTCATAGAAAACAGGAAGAAATGCTGCTTCAATACAGAGAATACAATAAGACGGTCTAAAAAGGGAACACTATGGCCACAATGCTACCGATACTCTACAGTAAATACCAATTAGACATTTACATAAATGTATATGCTTAAATATTTGTTTATATGGTGTAAGAATGATTCGAGAAATGTTCTCGGGTCTGTTGAGTGAGAATCCCGTCACATTTTAGACAGCAAGTTCATCTAAACCAGTCAAGTGAAGCCACAGAAACTTCTTGACCTTTGTCAGAACAAAACTCCCACATTTAATAACACTTTACACAGAGTATCCAAACCTGGCACATTCTGATCAGTCAAAAGTCTACAAAAAGCTTTGGTGTGTTCCTTACACACAAAGCAATGGTATGACATTGAAAACCTGGTATATAGTACACAAGTCTGGATTACTTCTACAGTGATATTATGCTGTTTATATGTCATTTTTTCAGTTCTCGATCATCCCCATTTACCTTTATTGTATGGAAAAGTGCATCTTTTATGATAGAAAGTCATAAAAGGTTTGGATTGGCATGATAGTGGCGAGTAAATCATGACAGAGTGTTCATTTTGGGGCGAACTAGTCCTTCAAGTTGTATCATGCTAAAATGCACATTTCACAGTCCAATTACAGTACGTGAGGTAAATCACATTGTACAATTACATGCTTTGTATAACAGCACATCTAGACTGACCCGAGACCAGTCTAGGAGCTGGAAATCTAGTCATCTGATTAAAGTATGTTCAGAGACTCTCAGGCTAATGCAGGAAACATTCATATCGGTCAGCAGACGCCATCTGATCACTCTGTCCCTCTCAGCCCCGCAATCTCCTCACCATGGCAACTGTGACATGAGAAGGACTATTCATTTGAGATGCTAGTTACCATGTCACTGTGGTAACTGAATAACCAGGTGAACATGGGAATATAAACAAAGTCAGACAGACTTATTACAGATTTTTTATTTTTTTTTATTTGGTATAGTAGAATTACTGTATTGTTTTCTCCTTTTGATTAATTGTTCCTTCTTGTATTATTGTAATTTGTAAATTGCTTTGGGTAAAATCATCTGCTAAATGAATAAATGTTCTTTAAATTCACAGAATCTTTGCGTATGAATGGTTTCTGTTCATCGTGCTTGTAATCTGTGTATTAATCTGTGTTAGTCCTGAGGGTAGTGATAGTAAATGTGCATTACAACAGCGTATAAAGAGAAACAGAGATGTGTAGCTAGGATCAGTGCATAGAGACACAGTGACATTATTATCGTGCAGATGGGTTGTGTGCCTCAGAATGTCATTGTTTGTCTGGGTGAATGTGAACTGAAGCAGATATGGACCACACTGTGATGGCAATAACTTAAATATACATAGAGCGGGAAACACCACTGTTTCAACATGATCATTCAGATTGCAATTCATTCTCAAGAAGGAAGCTGGCTAATAAACAACAGGTCAATGTAAATTTTGTTCTTTTTTATGCAAAGTACTGGATTTTAATAAGAAAACAAAAATATTGGATGTGGTATACATTGTTAAATCATTATTGCACATACTGTTTGTGCTACAGACATAAACGACAATAAATGATTTTAACGCTTTAGTCATTTTGTTATGAGCTTTTGTAATTTTTTATCATTTCTTTTGTAAATAATACCTCTTAAATTATATTTTTATTTGTAGGTTTTATTTCTAGTTGCAACATTTCTAATTTTTGTTTAGTTTAAGTTTAAGTTCATCTAATATTTTTATTTTATTTCAGCTTTATTTTAATTAACAAAAATGTTTTAGTTTTAGTTATCTTTAATAACTCTGTGTCAACTTCAGAAATATACATATAAATAATAAATACATTCAAAAATATCTACAAAATAATTTGGCTGTGAACTAAACCTTGAGCTACTTGTTTTGCTTGATTATTCCCCTTTTGGTCAAGTCTTATCTCCAAGTCAGCAAGGACCACCACTGTTGTCTTCTTAAAAAATGTGCATGATGCACCTGTTGTCACAAGCCAGAATGAAATATGACATTAATCACAAGGTTTAGCAAAGACTACTTACGCAGTGCTGGTCTGCATGTCGTACCAGCTCTTGGTGAAGTTCTGTCGCAGTTCACACAGGGGTGTGATCCCTAGTTTCTGTTTCAGCTCCAAGTGACGCTTTTCTTTGGAGGCCAGGACTTGTTTCAAAGTTGTGATTTCTTCTTCTAACTGACAGAAGGAAAATAAGTCAAGGTTGAGGGCTGAATCTTTTCATATTTAAATAACAGTTATCGGAACAACAGATAATTCTAACATGAAGTGTCCACTCTTTTCTTTCCGTCTCATATGCAAACTGTTTCACATTTAATGCCTGGCTCAGTGGACCATGAAGATCTCGGAGGATAAAGTAGCCCAAGAAAAAAAAAATGGGAAAGCTTTGGTCACATGATTTACAATCATGGGTGTATGGTCTGAGATAATGCAGACCATTTGTGTGGCAACAGCACAGTATATTTCAGTAAATACAGTACAGTAGACAGGATCACATTTCAATACTAATGGCTTTAATATGACTGAAATCAACCTAACTATACTTTTACACTAATAAATGTCATTTTTAACTCCCATACCAGATAGAAATGGCTCCTTAAAGGGGTCATATGATGCGATTTCAAGTTTTTCTTTCTCTTTGGAGTGTTACAAGCTCTTGGTGCATAAAGAAGATCTGTAAAGTTGCAAAGACTAAGTGGCACATTTTTTTTTACTATTTAAAAGTGAGTCACAACATGCAAAGAAGGAAAATGCAGACAGATCTGCAGTATTTACATAATATGCAATACTTCAGCTTGAGCTACTGCTGTAGCCTTCAAGTTCACAGACTAACATATTTTCTAAGGATCATCCAGCCCATTTTCCTGTTAAAACACTGGGTTAAATACCTTAGTCAGTTCATTCTCCATTTCCTCTCGCTCCTCTTCTGTGACAGTGTTGTTGAGATCCACCTCTGATACCATGTCCTCATCCACTTCCTTTAGAGGCTCTTTGTCCAATAAACCTGGAAATAAATGTACAAAAATAGCAGAACAATGGAATTTATTGTTAACATGTCTCAATCAAATGGACAAATCTTTGAGCACACATTCTTTGTGATTTGATTTCACAGAAATAACTTGTGTAAAGTCAATCAACCATTTCTAAAAGGATAATAATTCTTAGAATTATTTAGCCCAAAAGGTTTTGAGTCTCAAAAACTCATTAAAACACAAGGGTATAATTTATATACTTAAAGGAAAAGTTTACCCCAAAAATAATTCTATATTTATTTATATATTCAGAAATCATTCTAGTATGCTGATTTGGTGTTCAAGAAACATTTCTTTTTATTATCAGTTGCTATTTTTAGGTAAACTAAGACACAATTTCAACCATTATGTCTTAACAGGATTTGCACTATACAGAAACAACCCTTCAGTCAGTGTGACAACAGCAGTGAAGCCTTTAAACAGATTTAACCATCACCTTCCCGGTGTAATTATCCTGCCTCTCCCCAGAATGAAGGTGTATTTTCAGTTATAATGAAAGTTTGTAGAAAAAAAACAGATTTACAAAATGATGCCATTTTTACAAGCATTATGACAGCATGTTTTGAGGCAACATAAGGCTGATTTCAATCTAAAGCACCTCATAACAGCTGACACACAGAGACTAGAGAACGGAACAGCAGTATTCTCTTATGCATTTGAGGATTTAAGCTGAACTTAAGCAAAGAGAAAAGGACATGACAGTAGGAATGTGGTTTGATTATCATACCTATGACTGAAAACTCAATCCAGTTCCCCAAAATCCCTGCAAAATCACTCACTCAGGACACCATTATGTGTTTCAGGTTCATTTAATTGCAATACATGCCTGACATGACTTACATACAGTCAGGGCCAAAAATGTCGGCACCCTTGGTAAATATGATCAAAGAAGGCTGTGAAAATAAATCTGCATTGTTAATCCTTTTGATCTTTTATTTTAAAAATTCACAAAAATCTAACCTTTCATTGGATAAGAATTTAAAATGGGGGGAAATATCATTATGAAATAAATGTTTTTCTAAAATACACGTTGGACACAATTATTGGCACCCCTAGAAATTCTTATGAGTAAAATATCTCTGAAGTATATTCCCATTCATATTCACAATTTTGAGCACTCCAGGGTGATTACGAACATGAAATTATCCAGCCATGGCTTCCTGTTTCACAGAAATATAAATAGGAGGGAAAGCAAAGCCCAAATTCCCTTAATCACAATGTGAAAAACCAAAGAATATATTTCTGATGTGCAGCAAAATATAATTTAGCTTACAAATTAGTGAAGTGGCTTTAAGAAAAGAGCTAGAGCAGTGAAAATTCCCATTTCCACCATCAGGGCAATAGTTAAGAATTTCCAATCAACAGAAAATGTTACGAAACTGCCTGGAAGAGGACGTGTGTCTATATCGTCCTAATGCACGGTGAGGAGGAGAGTTTGAGTGGCTAAAGACTTTCCAAGGACCACAGCTGGAGAATTGCAGAAAATAGTTGAGTCTCGGGGTCAGAAAACCTTAAAAAAAATTGTCAAACAGCACCTACATCACCACATGTTGTTTGGGAGGCTTTCAAGAAAAATTCTCCTAGCTCATCCAAAAACAAACTGCAGCATATTCAGTTATCCGACACGACTGGAGCTTCAAATGGGACTGGCTTCTATGGTCAGATGAAACTAAAAAATGAGCTTTTTAGCAGCAAACACTCAAGATGGGTTTGGTGAACACAGGGATAAAAAGTACCCCCTGTGTACAATAAAAAATACTGCTGTATTTTTTA